TTACCTGAGGCTTTCCTGACAGATACGATTGGTTCGGCCCATATTGAGTAGTTGACTGGCTGAAGAACGCCATCTTGTTGAAAACGATCAAGTTTTTGGGTCCACCACTGTAAGTGCAGCGTAAGGAACCGGTCTTTTTGATCTGAAAACAGGTTTTGCGTTTGGTTGGAGACGAAGAGTAACCTTAATCTTGTTGCAGTAACCAAGATCGCCTTGAAAAACTGGAGCAGACTTTGCCTGTAAGGGCGACTTCAAATTTGTCGCCAGCTGATTCGATTTGGCGGGACTGGGCCAAGTTGACTGCACACTATTGCATATGCGGTTAAGTGGCAGCTCTAGGATACCGAGATTCTCGATCTAGTCAAGGCCAATTAAGTCAAGCTTCGGTCGGTTGGTTAGGTAGCATGTTCCTTTGAATTCGGTGCCATCAAAGGAGACGTCACATTCGAGCTCACTCGTCAGCCGGAAGAATCCGCCCGAAACATTTAAAGCCTTTTTGTCCGATGTGATCATCGGAGGCTGTCCAATCATCCGCCAAGTGTGTTTGGAGATGAGGCTGGTGTCTGATGCCGTGTCCAGCTGGAGGCGAACAGGTTTGCCATTGATGGTAACTGTAAAATATTTCCTCCGTGCCTCAAAATCAGTTTTGAATGTGGCTAGGAGTGAGTTGGACTTTATGCCAGAGTAAGATGAGTGGCGTTTGGCACTTCTCGTCTTCCTGTCGCTTGCCCTTGATTTGAGTGGTTGGCCTGCCGGACCGTGGTCTTCCTTACGCCCTCGTTTATGGCATTTGTGACAAACATGCTTCTTGAAGGGACAGAAGCGAGCAAAATGCCAGTCACAACACTGCCAGCACGCTGATAGTGGGTCTCTGGGTGTGGGATCTTGAGACTTCTGTGGCAAGATCGACTTCGTCCGAGTGATAGCACGAAAATTGGTGGCGGCAAACGCAGAACTGGGTTGCTCCACGATCGCAGAATCATGTTTAAGATTCTTGAGCCACGGACACTCGGCCGTCAATGTGTGCAGAGTAGATTGTGGGCCTACTCAATCTTAGAGAGCAGACTCGTCCTGGTTTCAGCATCACGAGGTAACTGGAGGGCGTAATAGCAGGCGCACCTTCCATGCATCATCGGCCTTGGCAGATTACACGCGGAATATGTCTTCCAAACGTTTGAACCAAGCGCAGAAAATAACGCCAGAGTCGGGGTCATGAATGAACTCTGTGATAGAAGCAGCAATTACTTCCGCTGATGTGGACTATTCTGCGGTTGAATCTGGACTAAAAAAATGCAAACTGAATTTTAGCATCATGGACTCCATCAACTTCATGTGTGCCGCCTCGATTTGAGTTTGCTGTTGTTGCAGGATAGCGAGCAATTGTTCTGAGGAAATGGACGTAGTGAGATCTGAAACTGCGTCGCCATCTATTGATGCGATAGCCCAAGCCGAGATATCACTGCTCAACAACGCCTTGTGTGAGTCCCCAAAGTAAGGACACGACAAGCAGTGTGAAACAGCAGAAGTCTTTGGGTGAAAATGGAACAATGGATTAGTCACCGGTGCGATTGGCTGGGACCCAGGGGCTGACATTTAGCCTGAATTTTGGATTATCGATCGATTGACGGCTTGTGTACGTTCGCCCATGTAGGCCGATCGATAGCCTACTGTGAGCGCGGCTATCACTTGCAAGCTAACTGCTTGTTAAGGCTGTTCGTTAGGCCGTCCTAACATTCCACAGGTTGACGTTGTGATCAAATAAATGAAAAAAATTATTAATATCATTAAGCCTCCCTAAGAAACTGGTAAACAATTTTTTACAATTTCACAACACGCATGTATAAATAAGGAGTTCAAAGCTACGTACCAACATTTCCCTCAAATATACCGATACTGAATATAATCTCTTGGTTAGTTGTCGTGCACTAAAAAGCGGTGTTGTGACGTCCGCCCGTCATGACATACCGCGCATTGCGGTGTCATTTAATCACATCGTCTGCGATCATTCAGACAGCGGCAGTGGGTGGAGGGCAATCAACCCTGGAAATTGTTCATCAGTTAAATTCTTCTGTACGTACGGGTTCTGCAGTCTGACATCACTGTGCGACGATAAGTCTGCAGGAGGTCAACTTTCCTGAAAACGTGATTAATTGTGCACTGCAGTTGGGGTTACTAGCTGCTCACGAGCTAGTGCTGTTTTGGTGGTATAAGGATGTAGCAGCTGCATGAGAATTGAGCCTATATGTTTGAATATTAAGTCCGTAATTTTGCGAATTCTATAGGATTTTGGCTAAACTGTTACTGTGTGTGAATATGCTTGATGTTAGCCATGATTAGTTGATTTTATGCTACAGAAGTAAGGAAAGCTGTTACGGGGGCTTATCAATCTCCCTGTCTCCTTCAGGGAATCAAAAGGTTTTTTGCCCTGAGAATTTACACTCACAGGCGACCTCAATTGCAAAAGTAGCCTCTAGTAGCAAGGGTATTACACTTCGGTGGCAAAC